TGTACTAACAGAAGAAGATGAACAAATGCAGAGGTAAAAATATACCATTGTAATTTTAGAAAACTTTTTAAATTTGAGTATAAATAAAAAAGATTTTGAATTGTATATTCGTACGATTAATATATAATTTTTTTCAACGCTTTAAATCTGTTCAAAAATGCTAGACTAACTCCAAGTAGATTTTCTTATGCTCAACGTGCGCAGCCAAATCGTTTAACGTCAAACAATATCACTCAAGTAAACCAACTAGTTATCACAACTACCACAACCGCCTTGAGTGGTCGTTTAACGCCGAACAGTTTGGACTCTCGTGCACGTTCTCAAGCTAATACCAATAGCTCGGTATCAACAACACCGACCCAAGCAAATCAATTTAAAAATGACATAAATTATATGAAGAAAATTTTTAAATAGTTAACGCTTTCTTTTTATATATATAAAGTTTAAAATTTGATTTTATTTTCTTTGCATATCCTTATAGTTGTAGTATTTCCTAAGTAGTAGATGATCCTTTAAATATCCTCTGCAATGTTTTCTTTTCAATTTATTTATATATAGAGTGCTGCAAGAATCATTATGCGGTGCTCGCGTCACTTCATCACCAACATCAGACGATGATGATGGCGGCTTTCGGTTCATGGATCCGGATTTAGCGATGGCATTGCGTCTCAGTCGTCAAGATCAACAGCAATACGAGTTAGACCGTAAACGTGAGGAGGAAATGCTGGAACAAGTTTTAAAGTTAAGCCTGCAAGAGCATTAGATTTCGTTGCTGTGTAAATACTTTTTAGACGGACTACGGCAGAGAGCGGTGAATTTACCAAAAAAAAAAAAAATCCTGATAAAATTGTCCTACATAAACACTAATGCCAAATTTTAGGTTGAACGTTGCTTATACATAATTCACAAAAAATAGTTATATTTTTATTTAATTTGTTTCTTAATATTTTTATTTATAAATAATTCAAGTTATATACATACATATATATATTTATATTATATTTGAAACAATCGCGTCCTTAAAGCATTGGGTACTGTGCGCATTATTTAAATAAACTTAAAACTAATAAAAACTGTAATATCCTAATAGTTGATAAAACATTAATAATCCTTAATTTTTTAAATAATAGAAGAAATTTGTTTCGAAAAAATTTTTGATTTTGTTTTGCTTTAAACTTTATTATATATTATATTATTATTATATATAATTACTATTATTGTAAGGCAAGAATTCTTAATATTATATAAAATTTTAAAATTCTTTTGATGGGCGAATTGTTGTAAGTAGAAACGAACTAAATATTAATCAAATATATATGTAATTAATATATATCACTTTATTTTATATAAAGTATATATATATATATATAACTATGTTTATATATATTTGGTTTCACATTCTTCCTTTCTGCTCTTTGTTGACCACAAGCCCACATCGTTGTGATATAAGCTGTAACTAACATTTAGGATTTGATAGGCAATATAAATAAATATATTCAAATTCGAAGTTATGTTCGAAATATTTTTTTATTCAAATTTTAAAAATAATTTCATTATACTATTATTTGAAATAATTATTTTTTAATTATTTTTAATATGTATTTGTAAACAAATATATATGTTTGTGTTTTTATTTATATAAAATTATATTCGAAACATTTTTAATTATTCATATTAAATGAAAACAATTGATATAATTTTGTTCGAAATAATCAAAAAAATATTAGTTATATTTGAGTATTTTTTATAAACGAATTCTATTGATTTCATTTCATTTAAGCCGTTGTACACTTAAATATAATTATATATACCAATTTCAATTATGTAAGTTAAACACATATGATATATTTTCATATACCAAATATATTTAATATATATATGTATGTATGTATGTATGTATGTATATATAATACAATATATTTAGTATATATAATATATATTAATATCGTACGCAAGAAAGGTATAATTTATAAAATATATGTAATACTAAACAATTATTATATATAATATTTAAATATAAAATATATAATGCGGATTCTGCAGAAACTCCCCAGCTATCAAAGAGTAGAAGTGCCCAGATGCACTAACTCGGAAAAGGCTCAACATTACATTACACAATATATTACAATATATTAAATATATTTGGTATTACATATATATAAAATGTATTGTATATATATGCAAAATAGTCTAAATACAATATATTAAATATATATAGTACTAAAAAGTTAAATAAATAAATTATATTGAATATGTATAATACCAAACAGTTATATATATTGTATCTATATAATACTAAATTGTTATATATATAATGTATTATTATATACATATATATATTAATATATGTAGACTTATATTGAATATATGGTGTACTAATTTATTATATATATAATATATAATAATAAATAGTAACATGTACAATATATTAAATATATTTGGTACTAAAATGTTATATATATGAAATATATTGAATATATTTAATACTAAATATTAAAATATACAATATATATATATTAAATAATATATATAATATATAATTTAATATGATATGTAATTAGAATATAATATTATATATTAATATAGTATAATATAACATAATAATATATATAATTAATATTTAATATAATATATTTATATATATTAATACATGTATATATATATTTTAAATATATATGATACTAAAAAGATATGTAACTAATATATGTTATAAATATATATAAATATATTATTAATATTATAATATATATTATAAACACTAAATAATTTATTTATAAAATATTTTATATATAAATTACTAAATAGTTACATATAAAATATATTAAATGTATACTAAATAATATATATAATGTATTAAATGTATATTAAAAGTGTTATCTTCTATAACTCAATGAGTGAAATGGAATTTATTTAAACGTACATATATTTATTTAAAACATTGTTTTCAAAGTAATTTCGATTATTGATTCTAATCTAAAAATTAAGTAATATATAAAATTAAAATAAACTTAGATTATATATCAAATCTTTTTTGTGTAAAGATCATAAAATATAAAAAATAATTGTGTCCCAACTGATATGGTTTCTTTTATAAACTAAATGCTTTTCATTAATGTTCATAACTCAAAATAAATAATTTATATTTAAAAACACTATTTAACAATATTAACAGTAGAATAACAATAACTCTAATAGAACATTAAAAGCTGTACGGGGACAATCTCAAAAGTTTGAAAATTTATTATAATATAAAATGTATATATATTTATAATTGTCACAATTGTTTTTGATAAAAACCAAATATATTTAATATATAATAATAAAATTAAAATGATTCAAGTAAAATAAACGAAACCCATTTTCTGTAAACAATCAAATTATTAATATAATTTTTAAATTATAGTGTCTATCAAATCAATTTAAATATTATATTTTTATAAAATTAAGAGTCAAAACCTATCATAATTTGTTCACAAAAAATTTCACTAAAATTTATTTTATATATTATTTTTAACTAAACATTTCACAAATAATATATATATATATATAAAATAGATTAAAAAATTATACATGTGTATATTTTCACTATATATACGTAAGAGAAATTTTAGTATAATGCAGCTAATATAATGAAAGTAGATAATAAATATATAAATATAATATAATTATAAATAATATTATATATATATATATATATATATATATATATATATATATATATATAAAATGTAACAAAATAACTAAAAAATAGATAAAATTTATATAAAAAAAATTTGTTGTACTTTATTACACTTACCTATACAAATTTAATATATTTTTCCTATATAGAGCAGTGTTTTCTTACCTTTTCGAGATACGCCCCACTTAAAGCTTTGAAAAATTCTAACGTCCTCCTTGCTTAACATTTACAAGGTGCATTCGTAAAGGCAAGCAGATCAATGGAATATTTCCATATTCTTTTAAAAGACGAACTGTAACTTTCGCATAGGCAATTTGGAATGCACTCGTCTCTCCCTTTAAGATGCATTGGTCGATTCCTCTTTTCTTATCATAGAGATATCAACACCTTTCGCAATTGAGCTATAATCAGTTACGTTAAATATATACACGTGGACCAATATATCCTATTTGAGAGCAAGGTTAACTCACAACAGAGTTCTCAACAGGCTCCCGCCTAACTTCTCTCAAGAAGGACGTTTTCCCCGTGCAGCAAGAACTGTGCTAACTCAATTGAGATCAGAATATAGGTGCTAAAGGGTTAGTTTTCATGCATAAACACGTCTATTCCCACGTCGTTCTCTGTTCTGTCATCTGTTCTCCTGCCCCACTGCACACACAAACTTTCATCTAATCGGTCTTTGGACTCGCCCCATTGAAGTAACCAGGTTTCTCCGTTTGGACCCGGGTTGGTGTCAATTTAAATTCCATTCATCCCCAATTCACCTCTTTTCTCTTATTTCTTTCCTCCCTAACATCATCCATTCACATCTTTAACTATGTATTCGTATTGTAAAACCTTTAAGTTATCTGCTTTTAGGTCCTAGTGGGTTACCACATAAACAACAATCCAGGCCTCATGATTTCTAACAGCGTGACTAACAGAGAAGAACTTTGTGCTAGCCCTGAATATAAAAACATAATGTAAATCAAGGCTATATATAAATCTTCTTTCTGTTGCTTTTAATTGAATGAATATTGGATAAAGCTATTAAGACTGATTCCTAATAATCATAGAAAAGCAATAAACAAGGTTGATGGTTTTAGATTGTTTTTTAATCGGTCGGTGTCAGCATCCTTTACTTGAAATTTTAATAGGTGTGTGCTTTATTAACTTTTATTTCCAGTTAAGATACCAGTAACTAATCAGAGTTCAGTTGTCAGCATATTTGTTATGGACCCAAGTAAGCTAAGGCGTGGTTTCCTTTGATATCAAAATAATAGAAAAGAATATTTTGACACATTTCATGCATTATTAGTTTATTTTATTTATACATTTTATTTTCATAGTCACATCACATTTATATACACATTTGTTAAAGGTTATTAATAAAGGGAGAAAAAATCATATTAAAATACACTTAATTATAATTTATATTTAAGGATTTAGGCCTGCATTTGAAGCTTTATTGGAATTATCAGCTAAACGTTCTTACCGCAACATTAGACCTAATCGTTGTTTAGAATTTAGATCTTCAAAATATATATAAATGTATATAATATTATATTCATATATGAAATATCTATATATATAGATTAGGTTAACCTGTTTGACTACAAACCACTAATAGACCTTTTGGTCCATAGCGATACCAGATACAGTTTTACTTTTTTGTAAAATTTGTAGTAGATATTTTAGCGAATTTAGGGAATGCTTAAAGCTTTATTTCTCAGACAGAACTTTTTATTTTTTTTTTCACGGACTGTTCAATCCGACGTCAGTGGATCTACATGTATGCCTGATGTATGCTACAGTTTCAGTATATACACACAGTGCCAATAGGGTGGTCATCTATGTATATAAAAGAGAAATATACTTCAATTATATATAGACATAATACATATATTAGGTTGGACGTTTACAGGATTTCTAACAGTTAATTCGCCAACTAAGCGGAGCTCTACGATCAAAGTAGATCTTGTGTGTTAGGTAATATATATACATTTATATATTTTAAAAGTGTAAAATACAAATTAATGTAGTAAATATTTAATATGTAATAATTAAAATAAATGGTATATAGGACAGCTAAAACAATGAATTATATCTGTTTAATATTTACCCAATTATATTTAATTTTTTTTTTAGTATTTTCTACTTAAATATTAACATACAAATTATTATTTATATAACATAGGTAATAAACTTAACTAAATCTTCTATACAAATTAAAGCTATATAAACTAATATGACACATTTTGCATAACATATATAAAAATTATAGTGCTTTCTTAATTATTGGATGTAACAAACTTTGTGGTTATCTATATATAATGTAAGGTGATAGATAAATTTATCTTTCCTGTATGTGTTATATATAAACTCGTGAACATGTGCTCTAAGTACAAAAATAATTAATATTAAAATTGCTTTACATACAATATACATATTTCATTATATACTCGTATTCTATTTCGGTTACATTGGGAAAGTTGTGTGCCACTAAAAACTTCCCTCTCTAACTCCAGCTATTTGAAAGCAACGATTTTATAGTATATCCTACTTAGCATAGATAGCAGTCAATATATAAAAATGTATAAAAAACTATATACTAAATCAAAACAAATATGATATATTACATATATAAAAAAATTATATGTATTTGAAACATTTTTGTTTGTCGTGTGGTATTCGCGTTTTAAAGAGTATTGAATCAGCTCGATATTGTGTGCTCAGCAGTGGAGTATAGCCAAAAACCTGAAAAGAAGTTTCATTAAAAATGTAAAGTAAATATAAGATAAATTTATCGATTAAAGTTTGTTCCAATTTAATGGTAGGGTAGCATGAGTGATATTTCGAGATTGAAGACGTCTTCTGTGGCAATAACTACAATATTGAATTTTGTGTTATCTTAATTTGTCTTTACAAAAAGAGCTTAAAAAACATTATTCTGAATGAAAATTCAGAGAAATTCTTTGGATCGCTGGTATAACATAACCTAATCTTACACTTTTAATACCATTTAAATTAAAGTAAAATTTACTAATTAAATTATAAACCAACCCCTCACCTGTGTAAAGAAATTTATACATTTGTGTCGCTCCTGAAAGTGCGTATCATCTTCGCTTAGCGAAACTGGGCAACCAGGGCAACGGAATGTCCAACGTGATGTGACTTTCACAGGTGGTTGGCGTGTGATGTGTGAAACTAAAAAGTTCATTGCGATATCCTCGCAATTCATATATTCATCGACTTTATCGCGTATAGCCTGAGGTAAGTGATAAGTATATAAATACATATAGTATTTATGTATGAATGCAGCACCAGTTAGCACCATGCTCAGCTCACAGCTATAATTTGAATTATAATTCCAATTTTGATTCGTGTTCAGATCCCAAGCGTGAAAGCGACCCGGAAAACCGACTACACGATCACGATGTTCACGCCAAACGCGAAAACCGAATAGTATTTCATCATGTCGGAGATGTGCATCATCATCCACTGAGAGTACGGCTTCGGTTTCAATAACATCGAATGGTAGGAAACGATTGTTTAGCGAGTTACGTGGTGCACGTACCACAGCTACTGGTACACCAATATCTGGCCAACGTAAATCATCTAATGGTGGCTTTGGTGAGTTCCATACAACAACCACTTTATGCAGATATGGCAGTCCATAAAGTCTGCCCAAAGAGTCCATCAAAACCTGTTCACGTTCATAAGTTAATATGATAATAGTGAATTGCTCGCGTGGATAATTGCCACCGAGTGCTTCGCTGAATTCTTTACCAGCACCACCACTGCCTTTACCAATTGGTCGAAATCCCATATGTGAACCAAGAAATTTGGCTTCAGATGGTAAAACTGGATCGAAGGGTAATTGTGGATACATATAAAATGGATCCGCCTGCAATTAATTATAATTTTATTTATTTTTTTTCATTATTTTATTTATATGCATAAAAACCTACCCATTCGTTCCATGCTTCACGAGATTGTATGCGTAGTATGGTGTAGTTGCGTCTAAAAGCTGGACTAGGATATGGTGGCTCAATAGGACCAAGTGATTCTTCAGGTTCTGTATCCATGCCAACAGGTGGATCAGATTTTAATGGAATAAATGTGTTATTGAAAACACTTTGTGCAACAATCGGCGGCACTGGTCTTGGCGGTATGCCCAAACGGTCACGTAAGCTGGCTATAATAGTATCCACGGTTGCTTGTACTGAACTAAGATAGCGTTCCCATATCAAGCGACCATGGCGGCGCATCAATAATAAATCACTGTCCTGTACTGCACGTAGGAGAAAATGTAATTCAGTGATGCGTGCTTTAGGTAAGAGTATAGCAACACGCCGCCAGTCTATCGTCTCGGCGTAAGGAAGTCGTATTTCATCTGCACCCAATATAACAGGTATAGCACCCGAGCGTAAGGCTTCATATAAGCGCGCTAACATTAAAGTAGAACTAACACGTTGCTCTAGTGGTGGTAAAACGAGCGCAAAAGTAGATTCTCTTAAAATGGACTTACGTGAAGAATCTGTGCCACATAATGCCCAATCTACTACAGAGTTTTCATCTAATTGCTCAGTTGCGGGCACACATTGAAACTGTAAAAGGAATTTATCTTGTGTAGAACCCTTAGACATATCAGTCAAATGTTCCAGTATAAAATCATCTAAAGGATGTGATTTTATTGCCACATCAAGCGGACGTAGTTCACCCTGAAATGTTAGCAAATATTTGCGTCTAGCTGGTACCATAGTAGAACATTCTTGCCAGACATCGCCACCAGGTGGTCCCAATATTGGCGGTACTATTAAATCATAATTGGTACGAAATTGTGAGAGTTCGAATGAGGATTGTACAACAATGGCACGCATAGTATTCTGATTCAACAATACGTTAGTACCTTTCGAGTTGAGATCGCGACGTGCTAAATTCAAAAGCACATGATTACGTCCATCGCCACCCCAGAATGGTAAACGATACAAGCGTTGCATATCAATTGCTTCAGGCAGTGGTAACACAATAGCCTTGTGTTCCTCTTCCTCAGCTGCGTAGCGATTATTCTTTATTAAATTATTTTCCAAAAGTGCCTCCCCAACTAACACTAAATATATACAAGCCAGCTTGGGATCACGCACAATGTGTGCGTTATAACCAAGTGTTTGTTTTATGGTTGTTTTGAGAAAGCCATCGATATCGTAACCAGAACGCAAGACACTATAACTGTCCGGATCGTATAAGTAGACGGGAAATCCTGATGTTAAACTACAACGTGAGTGATCGAAACAATTGTGCATTTCACAACTGTGGGAGATAGCTGTACTTATAGGCGGCATTTTACGTGGCAATGCATTCGGATAAAGCGTTCGCGGTAGTGCCAAATCTGGTGTGTTACGCTGCACAGCTTCACGTTGCGCAACTTGCGCTTGTTCTACAGATATTTTCAAGCGTTCCAGTTCTGTTTGTTCACGCAGCAGCTCCTGTTTGAGATCTTCAATTTTTTGATTATATTGGCCAATGTCGGATTGTAATTTTTGCCGACGAGATTCAAGTTCACGTAATTCAATCGAGACTGTATTCTGTTTCAACACATCCAATAATTAATTTTATAAAATAAATTTAAATGTAAACTTACTTTTATTCTTAACATTTCTTCAATGCGCATTTTAAGCTCACTAGCACGCATTGAACTGAAATCCTCATACGCATCCAATAGGGGACGACGCCGCAGCGCATCTGATGTAGGTACATCATTTTCGGGCTATAAATTGTTAAATGTTATATTGGCATAAATTTGTATCTTCGTTGTTATGCTTACATTTAGCAGTTTGCGGTGTGCAATTAATGGCAGTAGTACTAGCATAAATAGTATTAATAAAATTAGTTTGTACACACGAAAGTTACGGAAGTAACTGCTCATGGTACTTGTCCCATTGGTATTTGCTGGTATTTTTATCAGGGTCTCGCTGCTGCCCACCATGGCTTCTTCATATGCTCCCTTCTTTAATACAAAAAATAGTTATATTTTTGTAATGTGAAGAAATTTAATAACTTATTAATATTTATTTACCAAGAAGTCCACGCGAACTATAACCAAATTCAGGCAGCCTATGCACGCTACTGCGGCTATTAACTTCCTTTCTAAAAATACTCAGCTATTTTTCGTATGCTTAGCAACATATTTTATTAATTTATTAATTTGAAATATGCCGAAAATTTCTTTTTATTTATCTTAATTTATCCAACAATCTTAAACATAAATATTGCCTCTTCTTCTACAATTGCATTCACAATCGCGCGAAAATCAGCTGATTGTAGTAGCATTTCTAAGAAATTGCTTAAATTATTTTATACGGCTGTGTCATAAATTAACTTCTTTCTTAAAAGCATTATATTTGTTTTTTTAACATATAATATATATTTTATTATATTACTCATAATTATAATTGATATTATTGCATAAATTGTATTATGTTCACAATAGATTACAGGTCAGGTGACTAACCCCTAAAAAAAATTAATAGTAAAGTGCATTTCATATTATAAACAAGATATTAACAAATAAAAAATTTCTTAAAAAATTATCTATTATATAAAATTCATATTTATTGCACGTGAATTTAATAATTTTTAATATTTAGAACAATAATTTTAAATATTCGCTTTTATTAAATGAAAAAGATATAAAAGATACTCAAACGAAAAGTAATTTATTCTTCAAAGTTTAAATTTGTTTTTCAATAGGATTTCCCACTATATTTTCACAATTATATTGAATTATATATTTTAGTAAATTATTTGTAACATATCTTTCCCAAATTAAGCATAAATATTAAATGTGATTGATATATTAAGGTCGTGTGTGAGTTCGAGTAAATTGATGGTAAACTGAGGGAAATAGTAAATTATGTCGGTATGACAGCAAATGTTGGTATTTACCAGAATTTCGAGTAGGGCAAATTAGATAAAAATCAGGTAAATTAAATGTTACCATTGTGAAAATATTATAAGGTGTTTAATAAATAAATTTGAAAACTCTTACGGAAAAATAATATATAAGTGCAATAAATATATATATATTTACATAATTGCAGTGCAAAAAATCCCTAGGAAATTTCAATTTACTTTACCTCAATTTACTATAACTCGCATACGGCCTTAATGAAATTTATTTATAATTAAAAATTAAGATTTTAAAATCTAAATCTAAAAAATATTTATTAAAAGCTATTGTCATTAATCTTTACTTCGTTTAGTTTTTGCGTCCACGATAGGCAACAAAAAATTTTAGCTGTATTTGGCGTATAACTCGATTATATTGATGATTGCTTTGAAAACATTAACATTATATTATGATTCTGTTTGTCAATTGTTATATGAGATATATTAATATTGCTTATATTGTTTTTTAAAATTAAAGGAAGTACTACAATGTGTCGATAAAACAGTACCACTAAGATGTGGCAGATTCGCACTCAATATAAACAATTGAAATTGGTGTAATGTAGATATATGCACATTTTCATAAGGTGTATATAAATAAATAACAGTATTTGTTATAAATCAAGATATATAATTAGCTTACAATTACATATATCAACTAATCTGCTAACAAAAAAAAAACACCTTGAAATTTAGACCATTGTTGATAAGACAGTACGGCCGGCAATTAGACAGCAAACTTCGAGGTTTTGTTATTGTATGCGCGCTTAAAATATTTCAAAATATTCGCAATATTTTTACAATTTTTAATAATTAATGTTGTTTAATGCAAAAATTATTTGAAATACAGTGAAAAAAATGAATAACAAAAGTTTAGAAGCGAAAATCATATCCTTTGGCGAAAAGAACAACTTAGAAGAACTGCAAAACATTATTAAAAAAACTAGTGCCAAAGAGGTGAGTGAAAAAGGGAAATAAACTAAAATTATTATAATAATTTGTTAATTGATCGTATTTATTTTATAACAAATAGTTAACTGTTGTACTAAAAGCTAAATTTGGACGAAATGATTGCACTAGTTTCTGGAATTACTTACTGCAAAGCTTCGACCTCAACAACTTCGAAGCGAAAGAGAAACGTTTCGCTTGTGTTAAGTGCTTCTTGGATGGTCTATTAAACGTGGAGTTGAGCACTAAACAAACTTATGATCTGATAACACGTCTTTGTCAAGATTTAAATACATTCGACAATAATGAACTGATAGACATTTTGGAACACTCATTAGATAGTTTACGTACGGGTGATCCAAAATGTGTGGGGTAAATATGAGCTGGGTTGACACATATATTACACACTTAATAAATCTATTTTCTTTATATAATAGCTGGAAAGATTTATTACCAGAAACATTGAATATATTGGCAGAACAACCACGTCTAAGCGTAAATGCGATAAGCATGAGTGGTGCTGAGTATCGCCAACAAACAGTACAAAATCTTACTACAATGCGTTGGCCTAAGGAAGTACTTACACCAGTTGCTGCTATGTTCCGGTAGTTATTAATGAATTGTATATCTAATATGAACTTTTAATAAGTTTATTATGTTGTTAGGAATTTAAATCTCACTAACACAGAAACTGTTTTGATTTTAAATAAATTTTCTGGTGTGATACAAAGTGTTTCTCCAATGGAATTACCAGCTTTATCCTATCAATTGTTTTTTATGTGCAAAACAGCATCAGAAATAATAATACCAATTATAGGCTTGGAGAAATATTTTCATCGATATTATTATAAAAAGTTATTTGCTGATATGAATAGTAATAGCACCGATTTTGATAGCATTGGTAGGTATATATATTGTTACATCGATACTCCATAGTGTTCAAGATCTTCAAGCAGTATCGTTTTTAGATATAACATTTATTTAATACTTTTAAAATATTATTAAACCGATTTAATTTTAGATGAGTTTTCTGATAAAGAACTACGCGAAGCAGAGGAAACTATCTTACATCATTTGAACTATTGTACACAATATAAAATGAGCGAACAGCAAGTTATAATCGCCTTAAAGGTGAATAAACGCAGTAAATAACATTGTGATTGAAACCACACTTCACTAAGACTCAGTTACGCAGGCGATCAAATAATTGTTGTTCATCACTAATCTTGCTGCTTTCAATGTCAGTTAAAAACTTAAAAGCATGTGGTCCACCGTCTCTTTATTTCTTGCTTTTAATGTAAATTAAAAAAGTGTAAGCATTGAATGTAGCTACAAATGCGGTGATGGTTCCAAAAATGGTCGGATCTACGTCTCAAAGCCACTCGCCAACCACGACGACCAAGTGCCGTTCACTACCTCCTAAAGAAATTTTACAATCAGATCCCAGCGAGTAACAAAAACAGCAAATGCAGTGATCGACATTCATTTAATCTTCTCTGTTGACATGGCTAAGTTTTTCTGCTGCGGCCTAGGTCAACTTCAATCTATCCTGAATTCTTACTCCTAATTAATCACCTCCATTCTTACACTACTATCACCCAACCAAATCCTAAACCATGTTAATGTATTTGTCATTATATTAATTGCTTGATAGAGACTCCCGATCACTTGATTGCCTGCGTAATACGTCTCTTAAACTATCCTCTAAAAAGCCTCATTCCAATTTACAATTTTATTAATATTTTTATTAGTTCATATAAATGTTCAGTATTTTTTTTTTATTCTATAGAATTTTCAATGCATGCCAGACACTATACTAACTCCTTTCGTCATAAGCGCCATATTGACAATGGCTTCAGCAAATCGTGATCCAGATGCACATCAGTCTATGTTTACATTATTACAATTTCTACGTGGTGTTATAAGGTGTAACGAAGATGAGCGAAACTTAGCCGATTATTCAGTTTGGTGTCGTGATACTTTACAACGCAAACAAGTTGATTTGGATCAAATTTTTAATGTACTTATTGATCGCAATAAGGATGGCAAGGATATAATAACACCAGGTTTACTCAATCTTGTATTTGTGCTGTTAAAAACGAAAAATGCACTAACACTGCATAGTTTAGCAATTGGTTTCCTCACGAGATTTATTCGAAAACGTTTTGTATTTGGTCAAGGCATAGTGGAGAAGATAGCTAAATGGTTGGTTGTTGAACAGGATCAATATCAATATTCTGGTAAGTTCAGTAATGAACTTTAATATATATTTAATAAACAATATTTCCCTTACAGAATGTTTAACATTGTTAAGTGTTGCAGATACTTATACTGTATCCGAATGTCTTACGACTATTAAATATGTCATGGGATTTTTCTTATCTGTAAGTGTTTATTGTTTTAATTTAATTTTTAGTAGGTAGTAATCTAGTAACGAATTAGTAAGTTATATATGGTGTTCAAGCTCGTTTTTCCTAATAATTAAAGAATACTAGAAAAGAATATAAATGGATGTTTAGATATCGGTATTATTTAATGAGATATTTAAATGTAGATAATATACTATATAACATCATACTATATAAATGTAAATCATTTATATATGTTTGAAATGGAAGAGGTTACAACTTTATTAATAGTTAGAAAGCTTTGCCTTGTTTCAAGTAAATATAAATATGAATGAGAGATATTTTTAGGTTTCCTTTCTTAGACACCAGTAAACGCAAATTAAAGCGTTTACTATATTATCTTTCTTATTATCTATTATAAATTCTATTATTATCTACTCTAGTATTATATATTTTATTATTTACTATTTATTCTATTATCATCTGTTTTATTATTACTTATTCTACTATTATCCATTATATATCTATCCATTATCCATTATATATACTATCTATTCTGTTACTGTCTACTCTATTCTCATATGTTTTATTAGTATCTATTTTATTATTATCTATTCAATTATTATCTATTTTATTACTATTTATTCTATTATCTATTCTATAATGATCTATTCCATTAATATTTATACGATTATCGTTTATACTACGGTCTACTCTATGATCATATATTTTATTATTATTCATACTATATTATCTATTCTGTACTTATGTATTTCATACTTAGCGCTTGAATACTTATATATTTTATTATTATCTATTTCCATTATTATCTATTCTAACATATCAAGTATTTTGTGATTTTTAAATGGGTTACATTTTCATTAGTTACCAGCGGAACAATCTATGCGTATGATGGGCTTCATATTACCTGTTTTAAAATTGTCTGCACAAGTGCGTGATGCCTTCATTGATGAATTACGAAAAGCTATAAATTCAAGGTATAGTTCTAGCTCCCTTCACACATTTATCAAGTAAATTTTTAAACCTCTACTCAACTTTTTAGTTCCGTTAAAATACGTCGGATGGCGGTTTATGGGTTTTGTATGGTACTGAAGCAGTTGAACGTCAATAATTCCCATCGTTCTCAGCTGAGTGGTGTATCAAGTTGTACCCAGCATAGCATTTCAGGTTTATCCCTAATGTCACAAGCAATTTTAAGCAGTCATAGTGGTGGTCAGCGTAATTTTGATATGTTGACTTTGGAAATCATCGGTTTATTAAGTAAATGCTTTAATGAGAATCTGGAAATTAAGATAACATTATATGAGAGTAAGTTTTCTGAAATATTAATTGAAAATTAAAATTTAATTAAATGCTCGATTCCTTTTTAGATTTACAACGTGCTGTTGAGCTAAATGGAAAATTATCACCACATATTATACAATTTATTGATTGGCATTTTCGTTCGTTTTTCGATGAGAATACAAATGATGAAGATATTACCACATTTACGGTTCAATTTGATTGCATCGTGCGATCTCAGGAAGAGGATGAGAACGTCGTCATAGTAAAGGATAATCTAGGCAGTCTTATTCTATTTCTCAGCCATGCTTTAATCGTATTTGAAAAATTTGAAAGTTATTATGATGTACGCCCAATAAAACGATTATTAAACTTATCTGTGGAAAATGTAATTGCAAAGGCACTTAATTTGGAGATGGTAATATAATTAAAGCCTTTATATAATTTGTAAGAATGTGTTGTATAATTAAGAAAATATTGATCTTGAAGGGGGTTTCCTTTTTTAAAACACTTTAAGTAACTAAAAAAAGTTCCAGAAGATAAATAATATATTATTTATTATTATATTTATATATTTATTATATTTATTTATTTATTATATTTGTTTATTATATTTATTTATTATATTTATTTATTATATTTATTTACTATATCTATTTATTATATTTATTTATTATATCTATTTATTAAATTTATTAGTTATATTTATTTATTTATTATATTTATTTACTATATCTATTTATTATATTTATTTATTATATCTATTTATTAAATTTATTAATTATATTTATTCATTACTTTATTTAATTATCTTATTTATTTGTTTTATTTATTTAATTATTATTTTTTTTTTATTTTAGTTTTTTAAATTTTTTTTTTGTATTTTCATTTTTTATTTTAGAATACACCAAACTCTTCTTATAAAAATGAAATTGTCGCACAACAAATAAATTTCATTGAAGGTCTTATCGCTTACATGGTCCTTACTTCCCAACAAACGAATGATAATGCCAAAAAATTGTCTTCACTCTTCAGGGAACACCAACGTCTTATAGATCTTTTAAAGGTAAATATCATTTTAAAATAAATTATTAATTTGTAGTAAACATTTAAAATAATAACTTCTAGACAAGCTCTTCAAAGAAGAGTAATAAGGCTAAGGTCTCCAATGATTCAGAAGCAACTACAATAAATATCAGCGGTAACAATGCTGGTTCAAAAAAAGCAAACACAGGTGCTAAAAATATTTGGGACTTAGCTATTGTAGAAAAGTGCTTACGTCTATTACATGAGTAAGTAAAAATATAATATTTCTTTTGACTATACTCTTACACACACACAAAAAAAATTATGTAAAGTTTATTATGTTAAGTGTTAATAAGGAAGATAAAAAAAATTTAGAAAAACACATTGAAGAATTTAAAAATAGTCTTGAAAAAGTATATGATAAAATTGGCGTAATAATGAATAAATTTCCTCGTTGATCTAAGCAAAGTCGTGATCCATAAGTTTATAGAGAGTGAAGCATTATGATCCTAACTGAACACAAAATACTCAGCTTATTAAATAAAGACTAAATTGTCACTTGTTGAAGATTTTCTAATATCATACGAGAATAGAAATCCCAAGCCCAGTAATCTCGTTCTGCCTCAAATCAAAGTCAGACAGTAAGAAGGATTCACGAAAGAATTACAGTGGTTAGCGCAGAAGCAAGGTCGAAAGGGATATCCAGCCAAAGATATTGAATCCAGCCAATGACAGTGGTAGTAAGTCATTACCTTATAGTATAACTCTGTATCTGGATTGTTCCTCTAGCTTGTGCTTAGTGTTTACTGCAACATTTCACAAAGTGAAGAAAGGACATCACACTGTGGCAACTAACATTGATATCTTACTTATTAGTACTTTTAAATTACAATTTATCTTATTTAGAAAAAAGAATTTATCTTAAGATAATTTATCTTAGAATTTATCTTAACTATTTACCTATACATTTAGAGATATAGTGCCTTTTGCTTCTTCAGCAAATACTTCATCACTACGCAGCAATCCTTTAATAGTGCGCTACGTTTTAGAAGTTGCAACTTTGAAAGTAGAAGGTATACGTCTGGAACCAGTTTACAAACAATTAGCGCATAGTAAACGTACTTTGAAATATTTAACCGATATTACAAAAGTGGTTTATGAGCGTTGTATAAAACGTTTAGCAGACTTATCACAAAACTTTGATGAGAAAAGTGCTGTACTAGCTGCAGAATGTTTTAAGGAATGTATCATCACTGCGAACACTGTCTACAAAGCAAAGTTTAATGACAATTTCATTAGAGGATTAGGTACGTATCTTTAATAGCATATCAATGAAATAATGATAAATAAATAAATAATATTTTAATCAATTTTAGAGTTTTGTTCTGCAAGTCACGCGGAACAAATTATTGCAACGCTGCATAAAACTGTTGATCATTTTATGCAGGAAAATGCAGCTACACAGCAGGAGAAAAATAAGGAACCAATTGCGCAAAAACTAGTCTGTGCTTTATTACAAAGTTTGGAAGTGCTTTATGATAATCTGTCGTTCTCTGATCGTATGACGACAGAGTCATATACTTGGCTAATGAATTTCTGTAAAAAATATGAAGTGCAGACGAAAGAATTAAGTTTGATACATAAATTGCTTTTTACACAAAGGCAAAAAACACATTCCGGTGCTTTCTTCAATAAAATCGCACATCAATTAGGAAAAATTATTGGTACCATGGATGAAGAAGAGGATGAGGACGAAGATGTATGCAATATTTATAAGAAATATTATGTGATTTTTTTATTCATTTAATTTTTATTGTTTTGGTGCCTTATAGGAGGGTCCTACACAAAATACTTATAAACTAAAGTCCATTACGAGTAGCAGTTTTGAGTCTTGCTTTGTTTATTTATGTGCAGCTGTACGTAAGCAGATCGAGAATGTTGATTACTTCATCCTTAAAGCGAATAATTCAAGCTATAAGATTCGCATCATACCAGAAGAAGATCGGGATGTTAATCTAGCTGCCTTGCGTAAATTGGAGCGTTCAATATGTTCACAGTTAATGCATATATCGCAAACACTGTTAAAGTTAACCAACATAACCATACCTTTAGGTGTGTGTATGGACACTCTGTTAAAGCTTTTAATGCAGCATTTCATTTGTTTGAAGAACTTAACAAAACATTTTCTAAGTTGTGGTATGACAACCAAACATTCCGTACAGAATGCTAAGTGAGTGAACTTAAGTTCTTACTAAAACCTAGTACTGATAAATAATATCTTTACAGATTCGATGCGTTAGTACATGCCATGGGAAGGTCATTACCAAAAAATATCTACGAACTCATAACATATTTGGAAGCAAATATACTTGGCAGTGAGCGAGAACATAAGAAATCAAATCCACAAAGTGAGAAAAGTAAAGTTTTACGTGAAACTAAACTTGTGCCTAAGGTTATTCTCTGTGTCGAGAATTTCAATAAACACGTCATTCTATTGGCTAAAAAAACAAATGATCGTTTGGCCAGCTTTCTGCATATTGGTTCCGTACATGATTTTCGTATAAATACCAAACGTTTAAAAGAGGCAATCGAGCGCACACTTTCTCACAGCAGCGATATTGAAACAGTTGGTAGTGAACAGTATGAAAGTGAAGAAACCAATATATATGAAGAAGATATGACAGATGATAATGATAATGAAGAAGAAGAAGAGAATTCAGAAGCGGATGCAGATGTTGAAACTACTGTTAAAAAAACCGTTGAAAAACCCATTAAGAAAACAACTGAAAAGTCCAATAAAAATGTCAAAACGAAGAAAAATGTTCCAAGTCGTAAGCAGAGCAGTGACAATGATAAAAAAAAACAATCCAATACTCAAGCTAATAAAAAAACTACGGGTAGACAAACGAAGCGCTCCAGTACTGATAATCAGGATAATAATGAGGAAGATTGTATAACTCCGGATAATGCAATTATTTTGGAAAATGAAAGTGATAGAAATTCAGTTTCTCAATTAATGAAAAACGTAGAAAAAATTAATAAAAAAGCCAAGAAACGCACACTCAGAGAGTTGGAGAATAATGATGCGGATGTTAGATCAATAACACCGGAACCAAAAATACGTAGAGGCCGTTCCTCAAAGAAATAAGTATTAAAATAGTTGTTAATAACTTAAAAAATATTTGCTTAAAAGTAGCCGGTTACTTTATTATGTGCAGTTAATATACCAGACTATGTTTAATTTTTACTTTTTTATATTAATAATCCTTATATCAAAAATATGTTTTATAATAATATTATAATATAATGTTACGTTACTAGTTTTTATCTTAAAAATCGATAGTTCGATAGGTTTACTTTAGGCAAATACGTTTTTTTTAATAAGTCAGGTTAACAAGATAGGTCTGTCTAAATTGATGAATGAGATCTCTGTCCATAATAGTCATTCATTCGATCAAACTATCATTTAAATGCTAGTTATTAGATTCTTTGTAACTTTTTGGTTTTAAACTGAGTCGGAAGAGGAATACTGAACACTGACACTTAGGAATTTTTCACTTCAAGATATTTTCATCTTTATTCCAAAGAGATATACAGATAGCAATATTGAGCCTTTATCTGTACGTTATGTTAATTTGGGTTGCAGGTGAAAGAATCTAGCGACCGTAATAGAACGGATCATGTTGTTGTTACGTGCTGGGAACTGTTAGCAGATAACATGAAAGGGTGGATCTCATCAATCTCAATTGGGGTCAAATTTATGTGTGCAGTTGGAAAAGAGAATAGATAAGAGACGTCACATGGAGAAGATGTGCGTCATATGAAGTAGAGTAGTAGTTGCGGCACACATTGAAAATGGACGTATTTATGAGTGATAGGGAACTGTTGCTAACGTCAATTGAGCATAGGCAGTTCTTGCTGCATGAAGGATACGTCTTTCAAAACCCAGAAATATCAGGTGAGACTGTTTAAAACGTTGCTGTTAAACTACAATGGTCACGAAGTGGATGCTCTGGAGGGCGGAAGCTCATTGTTGTTATCTCCGTTGCAGTGAGAGTGATACGAAAATACACCTCGACCTATGTTACGACGAGGTCGTTTCTCCTGTTATTGTAACTCACTCGAACTAGGTAAAAAGCAAAAAGGTTTGACAAGACGAATACTTGGGGTAGGATGTGGATGGTTTGAAGGTAGAGGCAAGGGTAATAAGGGAGAAGAGGTTAGTTGAGGATTGGTGGAAATTGGAGTTAACTCGAGTCAAGACGGAGAAATCTGGCCATTGCGTCAAAAGGTCGGTTAAACAAGGTTTCTCCTTCCTTCACGTTGTGGTGGAAGGAAATGCCGTTTAAATGTTCAACTTCGTGACACAAAAAATATTGTTTTGAGAATATGCAGATTGAGGTTGGAGCATTCTAGACTCCGCAGAACGTTAGTTAACAAGATAGTTAATAGTTGAAGAGCGAGGTGGTGAATTTGGATTTGCTTGGATATTAGCCCAGTGTGTCTCGCAGAGCTATGGGGTTGATACTAGTGCAGCATATGCCACTATAGATTGCGCTATTGCTTTTTGCTCAGCATGGCTTCTGTATTTTTATTCTATAAATAGACTGTAAGCTTCTTCAGCACGTTGTTACGACCGATTAACCGATTGCATTTAGCTGTCATATGTGAGGGGAAAGCAAGCATACGTAGGCATAGGTAAGTTGAATGGAACAATAGAGTTTGCAATTTGGGAAAAGTCCAACTAATTTTTTTAAACGGTATGCATGAATGCAGTCCTACTATGGGTTTCTAATTACGACTTTACTCATATCGATATGATACCATGAGAAAATCACGCAAACTAGTTAAACTTCTTAACAGATTGTTTTACATTTTATTGAAGGGTGTACAACTGATTTGAAATTACTATATAAAAAATGGTTAAGTATAAAATAAATTTCCATCTGAGACACAAGTATTTATATCCACCTATCACAAAAAATTGGTGGACAAAAGAATCAAGACCAATTGGGGTGCATTATGTTAATTAAAAAAGTTTATTTTTCAAATGAGCAAACTACTCTGCAAATAACAACTCACCTTTCCAATTCCTCACCAATTCCAACAAAACTCACATCATTAAATTAAAAATTTTTGATGATTGGATGGATGAATGGATGGTTGGATTGCTGGTTGGTTGGTTGAATGAATGAATGATGCTTCTTAATGTAGGTAACGCGTTCAAATTTTATTGCACTTCAAAAATCTAATTAGATGGGCTGTTCTGAAATGTTTGGACTTCTTTGTTTTATTTTCTGGGATTTTTATGTGATGAAGTGTTTGTTGGCCAAAGTAATTTGTTATAAAATTTGATGTAATTTAAGCAAAAAATATACTTTACTTGAATAAAAAGAAGCGAAATATCAGAAATAAAGACAAAGTTAACACAACATTTCATTTAACTTTTCAGCCATCAACTTTTTCGGATACATCATTTGTAACAGGACCATTTTATATTTGTGGATGGTGGATGGATGACCACAAATGTGGAGTAAGAATCAAGCTGCTGATTATGGTTTCCTTACATTTGCGTGGAAAGTTTTACGCACTTTTGGCAAGTTTTTCGCTGGTTTATTGCGTGCGTGTTGTGTTTTTATTACCAAAAGTACCTTTCCCTTCTCGATTTTTGGAAGGGGCGATACCTTTCACTTAAAAACAGATCACGTTTATAATTCTGCTTAAAAACAAAAAAAAAAAAAAGAATGAATAGAAGCGCGAAAATGTTTTTCGAAATAAGAAGCTACTTTTGGGCTATTAAAATAATGTACCCCCTGGTACAGGTATAAATGGATGGTACTCACTTAGTACAACATTTGCAATCAGAATTTTAATAGTTACTTTTTCAACTGATTTAATGATTTCATTTAATATGAGCTTGTGTAGTTTTTATGGACTTATCGAATATTTTTCTATCCCCCCCGACACATATATTGAAGGGAAATAAAGAATAGTTCAAATGTAAATGTTTGAGTAAATTAAGTGATTGTGATGGCTACCTTTTTATCCGGTACGATTCTCTATTGATAAGATTGTTATTATTGTGTACGGATAGATTTGATTAATAGAAAACAATATCTTTTAGTAGTGTCCTTGTAGTCCTCAATATGACTACACTGATTTAATTGTTTTGAAGGAAGAGTCGTGGGAGTTACCTAAGAGCCACCAATATAACACTACCAGAGCTTATTATTTCGTTTTAAAAAAAAACCTTCCAAAAGTAGAGAGCAGTGGTAGTAGCAGTAAGATTCATTTGACATTTTTTTAAATGATTTGAAGAAAGTTACTTCATTAAGCCACCAACAGAACACTACCAAACCTTATCATGCCTATTTGAAATATTAAACCTCGTACAACTAGAGAGAAACAAAATGTTATGGTAGTGTCCTAGCTATTCTCGATATGACTGCACTAAATTACTTGATTTAAAGAAAGTATCAAGTATTTAGTAATTAGCGTAATTAAGTCACTAGCGTTACAACTTATCATGTTTTAGTAAAATTAGAGGTGTACCAAAAGTGGAGGAAATAAGAGTAAAATAGTTCGATGCAGAGTCCATTTTTTGGCTTATATTGAATATGTGCATATTTGTATATATCAATGTAATTGATATGAAATCCATGAGGACCAAGATCCCAAAATTATCCGGGTTGCCGATACATGATGGGTTAACTCAACCATTTGCAAAAACACAAGAATAATATATGCTTTATAGTATATATATATAATATATATATTGAATCGGATTTAAAAAATTAAGAATAGAACTTACAGACAAAGACTTTTATCGAAAATCTGCACAACAAGGACATATAGAAATATCAGAGTACATATGTATAATAAATCCTGTTGTATTGAGACGTGATGAAATTTGAAGTAACAATGTTTTTAAGGTACTCAATAGTATAAAGCAGTGACCACCAATATCTAAAACGATGCTGAGTCTGTCGCATCACTAAGGACTTAGTGGCACCTATACACGATACTATAGTTATTTAATCATTAATCTTTATTTAGTTCGAAAACTAACGTTTCCTCGTTTTGTTTCGTTTCGTTACCTAATGCATTTCTTGAATTGCATGCCTTTTGTGATGCCAGTTTGGACGCCTACGGAACTTGTGTCGTCTCCAGGTTTGAAAATTCATTCAGTGTCAATTTACTTTGTTCAACATCTAGAGTATCACCTCAATTGCGCCGGTCTTATCATTTTTCAATTTATTAGGTTTTAATTAAAGAACTTCAAAAAGGCTTGAAGTTCTCATATGATATCAAAAGAGTTTCTTTATTCGCTCTGACCACTCATATGTAATCATAAGAAGATTAAAATTATATATTATGTGAAAGAAAAGCTAAACAGTGTATATTATTATTTACTTACTACTATTTTTAACAACTCGTAGTGCATACTGCTTGAAGATATTTTGGAATTGAGTCCTGTTTGAACATTTCATCACTTCAATTATAATTTCACATCTTTATTTTGGTTAGATGTGCTAAATCCTGCTTACAGCACTTTCTGCTAGGTTCAAATTAGTTTTTGTTTTATTTGGTCGCTATTTAGTTTACTTAATATGTGAACAATGTCCTATTGTGATACAATGGATTAGCTTTGTACATATACAGACTAGAAGAACCGCAGTTGTCAGCGTATAGACCTGATAGACACAACTACCACAAGTTAAAGTTAACCAATCTGATACGTCAATAAACGTGATTCAAGCTCGTAGTCTAAACATGGCAGAATGACGGCTTTATCAGGTAGGTAAGAAAAGGTGTCCCAAAGAATTTTAAATTTAATCAAAGATGCGCATTAAAAAAGTAGGCGAGTCTTTCTCCTCTTCAGAGTTGATATTTACGAAAACAAGTAATAATATAAATACTACTATTTAGTTAATAAAAATCGGAAGTTTTGGATATATACTACATTATGATAGATATATGCTTAGGAAAAACATCTAAACTAATTTTATATGATAAAGATCAGAACAAGGGTAAAAATGAGTGGATAATAAATTTACAGAAATCATTTAGAATCCTTAAAAACCCTGAAGGGTGTTTAAAATGTACGTACTTGTGAAAAATGTTATTTTAATGAACACTTAATGTTAAATGGAAAAGCTATTGAACTGAAAATAGGTGTCAGAGGTTATCTGCATATGGCGCTCCAGAATGTTGTACGGCCGCAAGCAGCGCAAGACAATGCACTATTTTTAACAGTTTCGGAACGGTAAAATGGGAATAATTAGTGCGAAAATGGAATAAAAAAGAATTAGTGTTTGATTGTTTAAAGGTTGTTAAGGAAAATTCCAAAAGTGGGGAAAGTGCCTTACAATAGGCCTGCGTTGTGGCCTGCCTTATCAGTTCGAAGAGATCAGTTAAGCGTAAATGTTGAAAGAATATTTCGTTAAATGCAACTTTGACATTTCGATTGCAACAAAGGCAGCAGCAACATGCAATCGTTGGTACTTCAGAAATCAACAACTTTTCTAATTTTGATTCGATGGTTACCGTCGCGTACGTTTGTTGCTTTAACAGCCACAAATTAGATACATTCCCTTTGGACGTCATGGTTTCGTTACTTTTTTGTGGGATTTTTTGCCTTTTGTCTTTCATGATTGACAATCACAATCAACTAGTCGAGGGGTGGTTAGTTTGTCCATAAAAAAATGTGTATGTTTGTATATATTGTATCTATTATATATGTATTTATATAGAGGAGGACTGTTGCATATACTGTAGGACTATTTAACATGTATGTGGTTGGTTCGTTAGTGAAATTTTATTTAGAAAAATTTGAATTTTCTATTATTTTGCATTGGATTTGATTTCCATTTTATTTGTTTATGTTTTGTTGGTGTTTTAAATAAATTTTCTTTCCTCTAAACAAACACCAATCGTTGGTGGTTTACTTTCTATACATATTTGGGGGGTTCTTCTTCATTTGATATATATTCTTTTGTATTTTTTTTTTTTTGATAAACTTAACTAGCCTTCATAATACCAAGTATCTGCTTATCTGGCTCTATGCTACCCTAATTCGACCGTTCACTAAATGGCATGTATCCTACTTTCTTGCGAGGATTGATTGTGTTGAGTTGTCAACCATTTGATATTCTTTGTTTTCATTTCAATTTGAAGGGAAAAATATTTGAAAATTTTTCTTTTTTCTAACAATTGCAACAAATTTAATATTCAAATTTTCGTACACATCTCATTTATTGTAACATGGGAAAATATTAAAAAAAAAATATGAGATTCATTCGATTTGTTAGTCAATTTTAATCCATGTTTCAGTTATTTATTTGATGTTAATACTCATGGATGTTTTATGGTATCCCTTTAAATTAAAGTTAATTAATATGTCAACAAACCATCACCTTATTAGAGTTCTTGTTTCTTATGGAAGTGTATCAAGGATTATAGGAATTAAAAAATTTAATTTAAAGATATTGATATGGGTTTACAATAACTTTGTTAGTTATGATAGTTAAAAAATCTGCTATGGAATAAGAAATATTGGGATTAAAAACGCACAATAAAACAGACATATATATTGTATTATCCAAATTAATATGTAAGCAACTTTATATTACCAGAACTTTGGTATTAGTTTCAACATTGTCTTCAACTATCTCATTCATGATAGTTGAAGCATATACTCGTATGTTTTTAGTAGCATACGTGTCCCTATTTATATTTTGAGCCTAACATCAATCAAGACAAATACCCAACAAATAGACAAATACCCAAGACTCAAAATATAAGTAGGGAATATATATTAGTCTTCATTATATTAGACTGTTATATTATAGTCTATTATTATAGTCTATTATTATAGTCTACTATTATATTAATCTATTATTAATCAGTGGAAAACTTAATTTATTCCTTGTGACGTTATGTCGCAATGACTGTAGACTACTAATTGGTTCGATTACTGAAAACGCAAATGCGCCAACCACCTTGATGTCATTAACAACAGCTTATGTCCACTTTGTCCTTTCCTTTTATATATCAGCTCTTTATCTCTTTCAAACCCTATGAAAGAGAGATAGCCTGGAGAATAAATGGGCAACTGCAGTCTTAGACACCACGGAAAATAAATGAGTAACTGCAGTCAGAGTCAAGCTATCTTTAAAGTTCTTGTTCAACCTTAAAGATATTTACCAAACTTATTGGCTAAGAACCATTTGATTTTGTAAACTCCGTAGAATTTCTTTGTTAAGTGAATTTTATTTGTGGCAGACGAACAGAGACGTAATTCTTGTATTTTTCTTGGAATTTAATCCCCATATAGAATCCGTACCTTCGGCTATCCAGACCAATAGAGGTAGACTCATTAAAGGGACTGTCGTGGTAACTGTAGTTAAAACCCAATTATATGCGGCTAGAACGACGGTATTCATTATCTTTCATTCGATGTGAATTTGCATTTTTTAACATCCTAATCCAACGAACAGCAGAGGTGTGAGAAAAATTATATTCAAACGTATATTTACAATTAATATCGGTGAAGTTTTACGGTATTCCAATCCGCGTTATTTATCTGTTTATTTATTGTCACGTGGACTATCATGCAACTATATAAAGATCACGTTATTCTTTTCTTTTAATGGTAAATAAACATTTAACAGAATAGGATTTCGCCATCTTATCTTATGGTTTCTGTATTGCAAAATATTTGTATTGCAAGTCATAGTGGAACTACTTAAATAATAAGTGTGACTATTAAATATTGGCTTATAATCAAGTTATGATTTCGTGGATCAATATATAACATATATATATGACCTCAAACCAACCAATATTTGTTAAGTATTCAAAAATACTGTTTTTGTACGTTTTGAAATTTATTAAAAAAATGATAGCTTCCTCTCTGCTTGATCAAATTTCTTCTAATATAATATATTGACTCCACTTTTGAAAGTAATTTTAATATATACATCACTGTTATACTATAATAATCACTTTTCTAAAATCTGACGGAAATACATAATAAAAGTCTGTACTTAAAAATTAAATAAAACATAAAATATTATTTAAGTAAACCAAACTGACGACATCGTTTATAGTAGCAATGAACGCCCTAACATAATTCACGCTCTGTTTATGAGTCGCTGATTAGAGGATTGGGTTCGCTTTAACTACTCACCCACCCACTCGTGTTCCATTACCACTTAACCATTACTCACTCAATAAGCAAAGCTCTGCGGCTCATAACTAAAGCTGCTAACTATTTTATGTTCTGAACTTTTGATCTTTCGTCTCGGTTTTCGATCTACACTAGATTCAGTTTTCGCTTAATGAGCGAAGTAGTTTTAAGAGAACTAGCGCATTAATGATTGAGAATGAGTTTGTAGTTTGTAACGTATATATCTCTAGTTTGTATGAAGAGCAATTTGAGTTCTTTTTATGATCTTCCATAAACAAAAATTAATTTGTGCGTTGTTGTTGTTGTGTTTTATGTAAATAAAAGAAAAGCTAAATTCTTAATAATAAATCAGTCACCTCAGTGCAACGGTCGTAGTTCTTTCGAAAAGTTCTAAGCGAGAACTGCAGTGTTTAATACTTAAAGTTTTGTGTTAAAAATAAAAAAAATAAAAAAAAAATATTAAAAGGATTTTTAAAACCCTTCAAATTTTTATAAAAATAATATTAAATAATTATTTAAAATGCAAAAAGTTTTAATTGTATTCGCTGCTCTTATAGCAAATTGTTTGGCTAAGCTACGTAAGTAAATTGATTTATTTTACAAATTAAAATTATAAACAAAAAAGAAATCCTGTTTATAACTTAAATTATATAAAATATATCAAATATATTATTAGTTTTGGTAATACAAAATTAAAAAAAAAAAGAATTTATAATTTATTTTTAAAAATTGTACTTAAATTAAAATAATACAATTTTTATTAAAAATTACTCAACTATAATATATATCATCGTACTATATAACGTTCTGTTATAAAAATTAAAATAATAATTTAATAATAATTTAAATTTTATATAAATAATTATTAATAGAAACTTATAAAGAAGATTTTATTTATAATCAAGTCAATTTATAAAGTCCTGTTTTAATAGTCAAACTTGGTAATCATTACAAATGAGACAATTTAGGACGATTTTGTGATTCTTAATTAAGAAACAATTAAACTTATATGTTAATTAGTGTTATCACAATGGACCTGTAGGGTCTAAATTAAACCTGTTTGGACTTTGGTAAGATTTTTATGTTCGAATACAAATACGTGTTCTTTTCTATTTTTTTGCATTTTTTGTATATACAAAGTCCTGCCAAAGTCCAGCGAGTGTAAACACAGGCTAACTTAGGACGCTTATAATAACAAAGAAATTTTATGTTTATTGATATTCTTTATATATTCTTATATTAAAAATCTCTTGTAGAAAAACTTTGTGATAAAAATCTCAAAATTTCAAAAATAAATTATTTGAATATTGTAACTTAAAGTTTTTTTAAAAAACAGCATGTAGTTTATATATGTCGCCCATTTAAGGAAAATTATTTGATATTTTCTATTTTTTTTTAAATACCTTAAAACCTATTATTATTTCTATGGCTATTATGTCGAATCGAAGTTAACTTCTTAAAAAAATTAATTAATTCATTCATTGACTTTTTTGTCATTGATTTAAATTAATGAATAATTGTAATAACTATTTTTCGAGATATTGCAGTTTTATTTAAAAAATTTTTTTTTTGAGACTTTTTTTCCCACATAAGATTTTCCAACAGTTTACAAAATGGATCCGGTCTCTTAAAAAATTTGTTACGCTTCTTGCACCAAGGCAATATATATTTCCTTTCATTTGAGACACTATATAAAGTCTCGGTAAATATCTTTAAGAAAATTTAACTATTTGTAGAAAGATATTTGACAAAATGTTGGTGAAAATTATTGTATATGGACTTAGTAAGATTAAATCTTTTTTATAAAGTTAAAGCATAAATCTATTACTTATACTGTATGTGTTAACCAAATTTAATACTATTTTATTCTTTTGAAATCAGATTAGTACAATTAGTAGTTTAGATTAGTTGTACAGTACAATTAAAGAGATTCAATAAAGATAGAACATATGCAATATGAAAGATACTATCTCATTATTTTTTGAATAGGCAATATTGCGATTATAGAATTTTATTGCCAATATTTATATATTTAATTGCTATAATTATAGAATTATAATAGAATTTGAGTGTTATTATCTTTCGTTTTCCCGTGTTAATTAAATATCTCTAGGATGTTTCTTGAGCAATTAGGAGAGTGAACAGTGGATGTGGGAGAACAAAAACGTGCAAAAATTATATCTTCCATCTGAGTTTAAGATCTTAATTGATTTCTTTGATTGATTACATTATAAAAATAATCTTAATAACGATGAAAATAATTTTGTATTAATGGCGATAATGAAATATTTTTTAGAAGGTCATTATGAATAAAAAATCGTTAAAAAATGCAATGTAATTCTTATCATAAAATTGTCATAAATGCCTTCAGCTTCGTATGCTTTATTGCATATAATTTTATTAATTAACGAACAAATTTATAGCAAGTAATAATTGATTTATTACTTGTTTAATAACTAATACGAACGTTAAATTCAATTACTATATTAAATTTATTTAATATATATTTTTAGCATATTTTATATGTATATATATTTTTTTTAAATATTCAAGTCCATAGTGTTACTGACATTTACCTTAGCAATGAATTGCATTTTAATATTGCATATTATATTTCTTTTAGTTTAAAATATACATATATTTAAAAGTATTATTATTATTTTCTTGATTTATATGTTAATTGTTATTTTTATACTTCACTTTATGAATTCTTAATTACTTGCGATACACATTTACTTTTAAAAACCCAAGTAAAGCACTTACATGGCTTTTGCTTTTAATTTGAAATTGCTTAATGCTTAATTTAAAAATTCAAAAGCAAATACATTTTGAAATATTAATAAAATATTAATCACGAAATTAGTTCATATATGAGTTATTTCATTTCATGAAGAAAGAAAATATATCCCTAAAGTTATTATAATATATTTTGTTAAGAAACTCAATGGGTGTACCTTAATCAGTAAATTAATCAGCTTAAAATAGAAAAATTTTAAAACGAATTGCTTAATAAAGAAATTAAAAAAATATTAGCCACAAATTTGAAAGAGTTGTCTTCAAATCATCCCATCTCATTTTCTTCATCTCATCGGCTACAACAGCACCTGCCAAAATTTTTGTGCCTCAAGCATTTGCTTCCATTTTGTCGTATCTTTTATCGAGTCTAACTAATAAGTGGTATCTATTTTTTTTTTAATTTTGAGTGATCACCATCAACTATCGATTTGCTCTTCTATCTACGATAATAGCTTTTTCCAGTTATATCAATATCTAGTTTTTTTATTATCGACTATCCAACAGCTCTTTTATTGCAACCAAGTTTCTCCGTTAATTCAAACGTCGTTAGTTTCATACGTTAGTTGAGATTATTTTTATTATTATTATGTTTAGGGCCCCCTAGATATCTATAAATATTGCGCTCCCTTCATAAAATTAGGATGTCTTTCCAAGTGCAACTTCTATGGTAGTGATATTATGTGGTAAGCTTAAATACTTATAACAAATACTTACAGTCTTATATATTTATACAATAAATACTCTTTATTGTATTCAATCCCATTTTACATATTGCTCGGTGCTTGTATTTTATCGTCACAGATGTTCTCCTAGTTATTCAAAACTATTCCTTCCTTTTTTCATCAAACATACTATCAGTATTGTATGTTGATTATTAAATCATTTTGAATCCATGTCTGCGATATTTTTTTAGTTAGCCATTAGTTCTTCAATGGAACTACAAAAAAAGTTATTTTTGGCATCCTGAGTTATAAGTCATTTGAGGGTAGAAGTGGAAAGGTGTAGAAAGCTAGAGACGCTCTTAGTTCTAAACAACTATAGAAATATAAACGAAAGAACAAGTGACTTGTTTCTAACATGTTAAGCTGTAATTTTTTAAGAAGCTGTAGTAGGCTATAGAGACTTTTAGTACCATTTTAGAACTATAAACGAAAAAATATATAACTTTTGATCATACAACGCTTTTCGAGTTTATACACGAAACATTATTGTGTGGTCAGTTAAATTTCAATAAATTAATTAAAATTTTTATTTTTGTTTCTTCATTACTGTTCGAACCCTTTTGACGTATAAATAGTTTCTTTACGTTATAGAACACGTCACATTTGACAAAAAATTAATATTTATAAATTACTTCTTTATCGTATGTTCAGCTGTCATTTTCAAATAGGCAGTAGAAAGCTGGAGAGACTCTTAATACCAAACTAGAACCATTTTTTTTTATTAGTTTATTTATTGAATCTTTTTAAATAGAAACTGACAATAATATTGCCGGATCTTAAATAATAAACATGTATGCTATTAAGCTAGAGTATTCATATTTATAAATGATTTTCTTTTAAGGCGTTTTAGTGCAGTTGTAGAAGATAAAGATTTGAATGTGACTGGAGTCTCTCTCTGACAACTAGAACTATAAACGAAAAAATAAATACCTTTTTTTTGGTATGTTGAACTGTAATTTTTAGAGAGACTGTAGAAGGTTGGAAAGACTCTAAGTACCAAACTAGAACTACCATATAAACGAAAGAATACATAATTTTTTTTTTGTTGTGTTTAGCTGTAATTTTCAAGAGGCAGTAGAAGGTTGGAGAGACTATTGATATCAAACTAGAACTATAAACAAAAGAATCAATAACTTTTTTTTTGGTATGTTCAACTGTATTTTTTGAAGAAGCAGTCGAAGGCTACAGCGATTGTTGGTTCCTAAGCTGTCAATTTTTAGACAATTATAACGAGAATTTATTATTTTACCATATAAGTGGATATATAATAAAAAATATTAATATTTCAATACTTAATATTTTGTACTATTAAATGTAAAAATTTGCGAAAATAGTTTTCAAAAAAACCGGAAAAAAAAAAAATTTCATACCATCGTTCTAAAAAAAACTCTTGGTTTCATATTTCCAAACAAATTATTTAATATATTAACTTCTTAAATCAACAAATATTAACAGTTTTACGCTTTTGGCTTTGTTAAATAAGATTTTTTGCTTCTCTGTAAATTTCCACATAAAAGTATTGAGTATTAGGCAAGACCCTATAGGTCATAAACAGCATAATAAGTAGTTGATTGAAGACTAAACAAATCATTAAATGAATTAACCGACAAATAAAATTGCAACCGGTCTTAACCAGAAAAACTTAATAATTGTTAAAATGACAAGTAATATCTGTAAAAATTATATAGTCCGGAAAATAATGAATTTTTCTTATAATTACTTCCGGCATTTCGGTTGCAATAAAAACTCAACAAATTAAAACCTTGTTTACTTTCAATTTAGCGATTATTCAGCGATTATTTAGCGATTTCAGCATAAATTCAACATTGAACTTGACTGATCGCATTCACTGCAGCCATGAAGAACCGTTTTCGTGGCCATCTCCACTGAGTTCACGGTCATTACAAGCTCAAAACTTAGCGGTTCGTGCTAACTTTTTGCTTTGAGTGTAAAATTGGTCAGCAATTCTAGTGCAGTTTGTTTATATTTTGCAACTCAAACAATTTACCATGTCAATGAAATTAACTTGATAACTTGGCAGCAAAATATGGCAAAAATGAAAAACCAAAATAAAGACAAAAACAAAAACAAAAAAAAAAATTAAATAAAATTAAATAATTTTTTTTTTCCAACAAATGGAAAAGAGTTGATCACATATGCGAAGCACGAATCTGCAAGGCCGTTTCGATTTACTTGGTTGCGTATGAAATGAAAACATGCTAATTTCAGGTTTAAACAATTTTGACTGTGGTCAGTTCAAAAAGTCAAAAGTAAAAAAAAAAATAAAAAATTATTTTTAAACAAAAATGCAAAATTAACAGTTAATGTGGCAATGCACTTTAGTAATATAACAACAATAACAACAACGAAAAAAAAAATGTAAATAAAAATGTTAACAATTCTTTTGTTGCATTTTTTTTTGTATTTTTTTTTAATTTATATATATTATATATATATATATATAATATATATATATATATATATATTATATATATTATTTATATATATTTTATTCATATTTATTAACAATTAATTAACAATTAAAAATTTATTTAAGCTCTGGTTTTCTTGAAATCGATAACAATCTATCGATAATATGGATTTACTATTACTTTTCACTAGGCGTACATGTATTCGATATTTTCCCCAATAGAACACAGGACTTGTATAATGAATTTAAATCGAACTCTATGATGGAACAACATAACGACGATGATCCAGTAACAATTTTCATCCTTTATTTTAAAGACAATGGATCACAGAACTTGTGTAGTGAATTTAAATCGAACTCTATGATGGAACAACATAACGATGATGTTCCAGTAACAATTTCCTTCATTTAATTTAAAGACAATGGATCACGGAACTTGTGTAGTGAATTTAAATCGAACTCTATGATGGAACAACATAACGATGATGTTCCAGTAACAATTTCCTTCCTTTAATTTAAAGATAATGGATTACAGAACTTGTATAATGAATTGAAATCGAACTCTATGATGGAACAATATAACGATGATGCAGTAACAATTTCCTTCCTTTAATTTAAAGACAATGGATCACAGAACTTGTGTAGTGAATTTAAATCGAACTCTATGATGGAACAACATAACGATGACGTTCCATTAACAATTTCCCTCCTTTTATTTAAAGACAATGGATCCATGTTTCTTCATATGCTCTAATATGCTCTAACCACATAGTAAAATTGACCTGATCATTTTGTTAGAGAGATTTTAACTTATGTGGTAAATAAAATATGATAACTAACATGTGCTATGATTAAAACAACTTGATGTGTTGAGTAAGAATATTTTGACCTAAAATTTAGTTAAAATCAGGTTAAATTAAATAAATTATTTTTCTGAATGCTTAAGTTATTTTGTCTAGAATTTTGCGGCTTCCACTTCAATTCTGCCTTTAATTCTATTTGTTATTTGGTGTTTCTAAAGGTAACTTACCTAGTTTCAATTGTGTCTCTAAATTTTTTTCGTTGCTTTAGTGTGGCTTGTCTAACCAACACAGTTCGATATTGGTTAATCTCTGTAACCCCCAAATGCATAAGATTTGTCATAGACTTTGGTTTATTAGTTTTATTATTAAGCGTGAAATCGCCCAACAGCCGGCATTGCAGCCAGAAGAGTCCTATTGTACCAGTTTTACTATTGATTACACAAAGCCCCTTAAAACTTTGTGAATAAAGTCTACAACTAAATTTAGAGAAGAGTTTTTAATCTGTTCTCTGATGACAGAAGTTCCATATAAAACAAGTTTCTTTTGAGCGTTATTAAAGCTGGGCATTCACAAAGAATATGCATGGTGGTTTCCTCATCTTCGAGACATAATCTGCATTCCTAGTCTTTTATTAAGGTTTATATGTTGGATTGAATTATAGTGGTATACTTCCATGGTTTACTTTCACAATAGAGAACTGCATTTATGTTGGTAATGAATATGTACTGTTTTGTTGAGGTGAAAATTATGCTTTTTTATTTTAATAAATGGCTTGACTTTTTTGATTCTGACAGTAACATTTTTCTCGGACACACTATTATATATAATATTTTTAACAATGCTTTCGAAGGAAATGCTTACACAAACTTGAGCTATTCAGCCTCTAATTAAAGGGAAGGAGAAAATCACCATTTCCGCTCCTTGTGATCTTTCTTTATTTTCTCTAAGGATATTCAAACCACAAAAAACACAACTGGAAATGCACAAAACGTAAATCCGGCGGGTGGTAACGTATGGTTGCGAGGTATGGGGATTAACTGCAACGAATAAAATAGCAGTACTTGAAAGAAGAATTCTAAGAAAAATTTTAAGATATGCCTCTTAAGAATGTTTTTAATACTAAAAATATGCATTTCATTTATAAAATATGAATCTTGTACATATAAATTTTATGTAATGCAGAATTTAAATTATAATTCTCAAGAGGTTTAGATGATATTTAACGTAAAAATACAATTCAAATAATTACTATTGATTATGTTAATGTAAATACTATTGATTGAGCTTGGTTGAACTTCCATTACTAGTTTTTTTTGTAAATTTTGATTACGTATGAAGTGCGTTGTGTGGATATATAAACAATATATTATATACATTTATATATATAATATGTGTTTGCTCTGGAAACTTTCAAATTCTATTTCTTCAATATTTTGTTTGTCAAACCACGTTTCAGGAAAAAACTGAACGAAGAGAAATGTCGCGACTGTTATTGTAAAAGATTCAATAACCTTTTTTGTACTTAATATATCTTGTAACCAAATTCAAGCTTAGGCATTTTTAGAGAGCTTGTGCTCATTTTTCAAGTATATACCGGCTTTTTTATAGAATGTTTTAACTTTTAAATATTTATAATATATAAATTAGCAAAATATTTTCTAACATATAAAAGAATAATTTTAAATATATAGTACATTTAATAGACATTACATTTTTTACAAAATAGCAATATAATTATAATTATTTCTTTCAGCTTCTGTTATAACCCCTTGCCATCGTAATGATCCCGAGTTAGAAAAATGCATTATCGATGCAGTTTATATGTTACGACCGTTGTTTGCAAAAGGTGATTTAGGTGATGGTTATCATGTACCTCCATTGGAGCCGCTATTATTAGAGAATATTGAGATGCACCGTGGCAGACAATTTCAAGCAGAATTCAGTAATATTGAAGCACGTGGAGGAAGCAATTTTGTGATTGATAAACTCAGGTAATATGAAAGCTTCATTACATTAAGAGCCTGGTTATTAAGTCTTAATCATTATTTGTCTAATTATAACTTTAATACTTATTTAAAATTTAACTTACATTTTCATTCTAACAATATAAAAATAATCTATATAAGATACATGAATTTATCATATTGCTTTTTTAATTTATTTTTTCCAGAGCAAATGCATCGGCTATAATGTATGACATATCTCTAACTTTACCAAAAGTTGAATTTGTTGGAAAATACTTCATGAAGTTGAATATACTTTTATTAGATATACAAGGAAAGGGTGATATGCGTGGACAATTTGGTATGATATTCATAGCATATAAACTACACTAAGAGATATTAACTATTTTCGTAATATTAACCCTTCTAGAAAATGGTAAGGCTGTAGTGAAAATGCGTGGTACTCGTTATGTGAAGAATGGCGTTGAATACGTGAAGTTTACTAAAATGCCTATGCGTATTACCATTGATAGCTTCAAATTGCATTTGGATAATTTATTTAATGGAGACAAAGTTCTAGGTGAAGTCGGAAATAATATAATTAATGACAATCAGGACTTGTACTTAAATGAAATCATACCAGGTTTGGAGAAGAGCTTGTCTCAAAAGTTTCTGGCTGTAGCTAATGAAATATTGGCAACAGCCACTTTTGATGAAATGTTTCCAATATAATGCTTCAGTTTAAGATGTTTATCTTAAGATATTTAATAATAAGTTTATTGTTTAAGATAATTAGTTATGTAATTTAAACTAATATTGAAATTAAAATGAAATAAATTATTCACAAAATTTTATTTCTTTAGTTTCAATCTGAAATATGTAGTAGATCTATCTAGTTTTTTAGCTTGAGATTACTTGTAGTCCTGTCGTTTTCAACTGATTATTTATAAAGCATGAGACTTTTTGCGCTCTTAACCTTTTTTACTCATTAATTTTCTAGCATGAGTCTTCTGATGGTTCTGCCCTTTTTTAACACATTATTTTTGTAGTATGGAATGACGGCACATTGTGCCCAAAGCCTACTGGACCTGTTGGGACACCACAGGTTTGTGTTGTTCAATCGCATGCTAGAGATTCTTCCATTCAAATGATAGCTAACTAACCTGACAAGTCTATACAATTGACCAAGTCCGTAATTTTACAGATAATCTCTTCTTAGTACGCAGTGATCTGTCAGCACCGATACTGTAGTGTTGAGCAGATTGTACTTTAGTTAAAGCTGGTGACTAACATGTTTCTTGTCCTTGATCTGACAGAAAGGTATATCTGACCAATTTTGTTTAGCCATGATTATTTTTGTTTCCTTGCAGGTTTTCCTCTTGCAAGTGTTATATGGAAATATTATAGACATATTTAGTTTAGATTTAATTGTTTAACTCAGAAGTCTAGCTGTTCGTTGTATAAAACATTTGTCTATTGCATGTATTACTTGGATAATGGCGACCTAATAATAACCTGCAATTTTGATTCATGTCGATATAATCTTTTCCATTGTTTTGAGAAATTTTATTCATTTATGTTTAGAGTTTTTTGACTTATTCTATATGCATGAAGGAAATATATCGGTGGTAGAAGAAGCGAAACGATTGTTTCCCTTAAAATAATGCTACTGAGGCCACTGATTTAGAAAATCCGAACATAAACTTTATTGAGAATAGAAAAGAAAAATTTACTAATCAAAAAGAAAGTATGACTTTCACTCAAACAAGTTTAGCGCTGTAATATTTAAAAAATTCAGATAGTACTAATATATATAACTACTATATAGGTGGAGTTCGAGACTATCTATGTGCGAGTACTATGTATTCTGATTCATTCTGTAAATCTTATTTTTGGTGCAAATATAAAAAAGTAAAAAAAAAGTATTTTCTAATAGCTTTTAACCATTATCAGACTATATAAACTGTAATGCTATAATCCATTTAGTGTTTGAAATTTAAATTAATGATGAAATTTTTTAACTTTATTCTAAAGAAAAAAAAAATAGTGACAAAGCCTAATTTGCCTAAAAGTAGACACGCAAAATTGTATGTTCACCGAGTATCTGAGAAACTTTGTTTATTCCATTTTCGTTCTAAAGAGAAATTTTTCAATTCACAACAAAGTCATTAGCGAAACAAAGATAGTAGTGGACGTGGTATCAATGCTGGAGGTGCAACATCCTACAATATACTTACTGACACAAAAGGTGTAGCTAAACAATAGACCACACAGTCCACCAGAATCGCACAACACAATACAAACACACTAACACACATACAGGCAAAGAATCTTAATGACATTAATTTTTTCTTTAAATTCTTATCAACTAACTCCATTTGAAAACTTTTTAATCTGTGACAAAGCCAGTTGCGAGCAACCTGGTGGCCAGCTTGGCATATTAACCAACACGAAGAAATCTGGAGGACGAACACCCGAGATGGTTTAACTGCCATGCCAGTTTTGATGCGTACAAGTTAAGCAAGCAGCGCGTGTTGGCTTAAATACTTGCGTGAAAAGAAGTGTTCCTTGTACTCCTTGTATTCCTTTTGATGCGGCAATTGTCCTTTTGATTAATCACCTTAGTCACTATGAATTTTATGTACTCGCAAACGTTGTTTTTCGTACTTGTTTTGTAGAGTAAAATTTTGAACCGCTAGTGGGGCAGTAAAGCGGGCTTAAATGAATTCACTTTTTTTTGTTTAGTTGAAATTTAATAAAGAACTTTCATTATTTATAAAATAAAAAGCAAAATATATAAAAAGTTGAAATTTTTAGTGAATAATGGTAACGTTGGTAATTTATAGGCTTAAATAATAGAAAAACATTTACTAAGTGATGACCAGTAGGAGTAAACATCATTCAGTTCATACACGATATAAAGATAAGAATTTCTTTTTAAAAAATTACCAAAAAAAAAACTAAGGATGAATTATAAAAAAAACGGATTATATAAAAAATATAATAAAATCAAAAGAAACTTTAAGAAAAGACTTAAAGATAAGACAAATGCGTGATATTAATTTATTTTGATAAGATTGTTATTTTATAGTTGTAAGAAACAATATGATGCAATAGTTCGTATGTTATTTCTATTTTCTGGATTTAGCTATAATTTTTCCACTTACGATTGATAAAACTACAATTCGTGTGATAACTTGATAGCCCCATATCTTTTGGCCTTTTGCATGTCATAAACATGCAAACTCTTTAAAGTTGTGTTAAACAGTAAAAGTTTTTACTTTTATTACTGGATTAAGGTAATATTTTTCCAGTTCCAATTTTGGCTAAATACGTCACATACCCCATGGTAACTTGAAAGCTTTGTCTATTTTAGCCTTTTGCATGTCATAAACATTAAGATTTTTTCTAGTTGTGATAAACTACATAATACAAAAGTACTTCTTTTTAATGCTGGACTTTAATCTGATGTCCCCGATACCACTTTTGATTGATAATGCTACCTATCTACCTACCACGTTGTAACTATGCGTGCTCGTATCTTTCAACCTTTTATGTATCGCAAACTACACGATTCCAAGATGCCACGATTTTAAAAAATATAGCTTTGCTCTTCATATATAGTCAACTATTATATGGAATTTTTGCATTGATTATAAAAATATAGATAACGAAAATTCCGTACGCCTGTGTGCTTTTCAAAACAAAATCTGCCACAGTGAAGCCCGATATATCAAGAATCAACTTATAACATTGTGAAAACTTGCTTAGAATTGATCCATGCCTTATCTTGAATAGTATCCCTTGTGATTCATATAGCCAATTACAAACCAGAATATCTAAAAACACTTTATTCTACTTTTGTTTTAAATATAATAAGGATTTTATAGCATATGCAGTGGATTTCATAATAATATTTTATATAGATATTAAAGAAACTTATTTACTAAAGTTATCAAGTCAACTTAAATATATATGATATACATATATATGTATACAAATTCTCTTTATTTCATTCATTCCTAGTGTGACACAGAGATTCCAACATATCCTTTAAAGGCTATTAAGATCTTTATGGCTGGTGTTACAGTAAGACTACAAAAATATTACGACAGGTTACAGCATTTTAGATTGACATGACTTATCAGTAGTGAGCTATATAGCAAACTTCAAGAAGCTGAGAATAAATTTCAATTTAGAACATATTCCTTGTTAATATCCTGCGCTTGAACACGCTTAAAAGGTTTGAGAAATTTACAATTTAAAAGATTAATAAATTTCCTAGGAAAGCAACTTTAATTACAATAATCAATTCCAATCTATTTTAATCTACAATCTACAATCTTATTCTTAAGTTATTTTTTCTTAGTTCTATGCAGTCAATAGAGCATTTCAGCTTATAAGTCCCAAAACGCGTTAGTTTTCATAACCTTTTCCAATACAATTCACTTTTCTTTTCCTTTGCGCAGTTCATAAGAAGGGATAGAGTTTCTTTGCCTAAAAGGTTTTCTGACTATCATCATTGAAGTCGCGTCTCTCCTTGCGAGTTTGTCTGCCACCTTATTGTCTTGGATCCCAACGTGCCCCAGAATCCATATTATGTGAATCTGATTGTTCCAACCAAGTATGTTCAGCTTGTAAATATACTCCAACGTCAGCTTGGATGTTACTCGTATAGGCGGTAAGGTCATAGTCGATCAATTTTTTTGAAGGCAACTGCCCTCAGGGCTTTACTTAAGAATTGTCTGACGATATGTGATGTTTGATGTGTGCCTATAAAATTAATAATAGTCTAGAATTTAAATTAAATTTAATTTATTCTAAGATTATTCTTATATAGTATTTAAATAAAATTAAAAATAAATTTATGTCACTTAAATACATTTTTTGAGAATTTGTTTTTTGTTATTTAGATTTAATGTTATTTGTTATAAGTAATGAATGAAATAGAATGGTAAAGAAATATTATTTGAATTATTTTCGGAAAATATTAAATTGATATTACAAGCTTAGAAATTCATAAGACTTAAATGACTTTTACATCTGATACTCTTTTAAAATTCATTATTCAATTACGTACGCTATTAAATTATTTTTAATGCACTCTTAACTTAGATAGACGAGATACATATATATACATACATATATATACTGTTCCATATTGTACACTATCCATGTAAGGGAGTCTGCCCCAAATGTCCTTAAGTCTAAATGGTTCATGATAATTGATTTAGTTTTGATATTATTAAGCCTTATTAAAACAGAAATGTAAAATTATTTTTTATTTCAAAGCAAATAAGAGTAACTTACTTTCTTTTGAAATGTTATGACAGGCTAAGCTCAAATCATGTAAGGACATCAGCTTTAAAAAGGACATAAGTTATGGGAAATTATTTACTGTGTAATTGTTTATATTTTGGTATGTTTTTGTGGGTGGTTTCAAAATGGGGCAGGGGGGTAAGATACAAAATTAATGAATAAGCTACAAGAAAGTACATGGAACAAAATTTTTAGAAGAAAATATATTTTTCAATAAAAGGACATATATATAAGTATATATATGTACATAAATTGTCGCAAACCTGTTTAAAATATTTCTTACCCCACAGCTCATTTTTTATTTTCATGATTTTTTTCTTTTCGTTTTTGTAACTTTTGTGACCATTATGCGTGCAAGACAATATCCTTTTTGTACTATGTCGACTTGGTTTGAATAATTAATAGCAACCTTAAAAGAGCGGACGCGGTACAAGTGCGCGTGAATCCTCAAAAAGTGATTTTTCTAAAAGAAAGGTGAGTGGGTATGCAAAACCTTCCAACAAAGTGGTGTTT